CTTCAGTTAGTAGGTAAATGAGTAGTGCTCCATCTAACAAAATTCGATATATCTCTCAACAAGTCCTCCTTGCGTCTCTTCCATTGCATTTACTCGTAATACTTTATAATTGTGTTTGAAGTCACTCGAAACTGACGTGTTTTTGGCACCGTGGAAGTCGTCATACTGCTTGATCTCTTCCTCTGCACTCTATTTGTGAACCCGCGCTCGGAAGAGACAGTAGCGGTCATTTCAACCACCAGTGTAGTTTTTTTATTTGATTAATATCGTTCACTGACTTTCGGTGTTCTTTTCAACTTGAAAATATTTGTCTCAATTGATTGCTATACGAGAGTTTACGTCTAATTGTAGATTCGCTTCGAAAGAAGCAGCTCTCCAAAGCTGATGAGGCGGGCGACTTTGACCCGGCTGGGTCGGAGGAAGGGGCCTGCACCACAGAGGAGAAGGAGTCTTCCCTTGCGGCCTCTTCTTCCCTCTCTCTAATTGGTGATTCCACTCTTGGTGGTGGTGGAGGTGGAGTCCATCACCACGTTCCCACCTCTTCCTACGTCAACGCCAGCACCGTTGTTGCGGCAGCACTGGCGGCTGCAGCAGCACAGCGTTCCGCTGCAAAGGCTACTTCTGCTACTGCGCCCCTTCCCGCCACATCCACTGCTTCCGGTCCACCCGTCTCCTCGCACCACGACCACCATTGTCAAAAGACAGAAGGGCGTTGGCGACCGGGTTCATGGCTCCGACGTTCCTTTGTGTTGCTGTGGAGAAGGAGGGCGTCCCCGGCGTCTGCCACTGCGGCTGTGACTGCTTCTTGTGCTAAACCGCTTCTTCAGGATGATATTATGAGGTAATTGAAATCTAGGTGCTCTGAAAAGCACTTTTGGTGAGTTTCTGAAACAGTTCATCATGGTTGAGTGCGCTTGTGCCTTTTTCCTCTCCTCATTTGATTTTGGGACCCCATGAGACGATTTTTATTCTGGGTTTAAGACTTCAGCTGCAGGTGGTTGGTTCGACCTTCATATTCGCAGTCATCAATTGGTTTTCAAGTTGAATCATTAAACTTTTTAAACTTGCCTTTTCTTTTTGGATTGCTGTTGGTGTGTCCTAATTTCTTTTACTGACTTGAAGGTGAATATCCTATGGCAGCTCTTTGAGTATCTTTGTCCGCGAAATTTGCATCTTTTGCACTGCTTCTATTGCTTCCTGATTTTTCAACACCCTCTTTCCTCCTCCTCTTTCCCCATCCAGCATCATTGCTTACCATCAAGCCAAAGCCAGCAAGCAATGTCGTCCTCCGGGCGCTAACATCCTTCTTCTTGGTGAATGCGTTCTTGAGGGAGTGCTCACCGAGTGGCTGGGTCCTGGTGGACTAGGAGGCAGTGGCGGCGCTGGTGTCGGCGGTGGCGGCAGTGTCTGCACCCCTCCGCCCCCTTCTGCCTCTTCTACCTCCTCTGCTTTTTCTGTTCCCGGCCTCTTGGTGTTGCAGGACAATCCCCAGTGGGCGAGATCTCGACTCTTGCTCATGCGCACGTCAGCTGGATATGTCCTAGAAGTCTACACACCCCCTGAGGTACGTGCATGCATCCTGTTTTGTTGATTTTAGTTTCTCACTCTGGCCTTGATTTAAACGTGGGCGAACTACCTACAATTCTAGACAGTCTTTACCGTTTGCCAAGGTTGGGCATTTATGAGGCCTACCAAGTGCATAAAACTGCTTCGTTGTTGTTTCTTTGGTTTGTCAATTAGTTCTTCATTAAGCAAGTTTGTTGGCAGCTGCACTCCTCAATGTCCATCTGAAGACCTCGTAATACTTGAATTTACTCTTAATCGCTTTTTTCATCCTCTAGAACTTCTGGCGGTCTTAGTTTCCAATGTTATTTGCAGGCAATTATTTTTATTTTTAAGTTGTTTCACCATGGAATTCCTGTGAGTTCTTCCTCTTTTATCTTTCAAAAAATCAAATTCCGACTTTCTTCAGTGCCAAACATGATTTTCCTTTCCACTTCAAATGT